CTTGCCTAGCCTTCACAAGGCTCTGACATTCCTAAGGCCCTGGGTTTAAACACCGGAACTATAAAACTAAAAACAAAATAGTTGGGGAACTACTACTACTACATTTTAAAACACACAAACACACACACCATATATATATATATATACACACACACATACACATACATAAACATATATGTATATATACATATTTGTATATATAGAGCCACATCCCCAGACCTTTTTATTATTATTATTATTATTATATATAATAAAATCTAGGATATATATTTATTTTGCATATATATATATATATATATATATATATATATATATATATATCTCCTAGGTTTATATATATATAATATTTGCAAAATAAAGGATAGTTCATCCCAAAAGAAGAGAGGTTGGCAATAATTCTGAGATTGGAGAAACTTTGTCAAAGTCCAAACTGATGGTCCTTGTAGCAGGATTTGGAAACCATTGCACTCATCAATCATATTGCTGTTCTTAATCTTAATTCCATAGAAACAAGATGATTAGACTAGTGAGCTCATAAAATTTCTCTTGCCTCTGAATTTCAAGCCTTTTTTTTCAAAAGTAGTTTAATTATCTATATAGGAATTGTAATATATTGTCAATAGCTTTGGAATATATTTTGTTTTGTTTTTATGAGACAGGGCCTCACTATGCTCCCAGACTGGCTTGGAACCCATGATTCTCCTGCCACAGCTTTTCAAGTAGCTTGGGCTTCAAGTACATACTATGACACCTGGCTGGAATAGATATTTGCCTTTTTTTTTTCCCTCTCTAAGGTATGCCTAATTTTTATACATTAGCTTAAAAGACCAAATAATAATTGTTATAATAAAAAGTAACAATTTTCGTGTCTTATCTCTTTTTTCTCTGTGTTCTGCTGGGATCAAACTAGGCAAGTACTCTGCCACTGAGCTATATCCCTGGCCCTTCCTATCCTGTCTCCATTGCTCATGAACACATCTTCTCATTAAACAGGCAATTGTCTTTGGATAGAACCCTTAAGAAGTTTTCAGAATTTGAATTTGGGATTCTTAGGAATCTAATTTACTTGAAGATTTCTTAACTGAAATGTTGCTTTTTAAATGTGTCAATATTTTTCTCTCTGTGGATTGCGTCACATAAGAAAAGTGCCAATTCAATTGTTATTGAAGTCAATGAATAAAGGCAAAGATGTCTCATAGAAAGTTAGCTGGCCATTCGAGGATGGTCACCATGTTCTAGTGTCTTGTCCTCAGGTTTGCAGAAATAAAATTTCCATTTTGTCAATAAACTCACACCATATCAAATTTTTAGCAACTGACACAAGCTAGTCAAACTATTACTTCTAACAGAAAACATTTATTAAATATTCAGGATCTGCTAGATACTGTGCAATGTTATTTACCTCATCTGATCCTAACAACATTCTGAGATAGGTACTCCTACTGAACACCATTTTGTAGGCGAAAAAGCTAAAGAGATGTTACATAATTTGGTTAAAGGTCAAGAGTAGGCTACTATTAACCTGAGGGGCCAAACTTCAAACCCAACTCTGTCATATTCCAGAGCTTTTATGCTGTTTTCTTTTATGTACAAGGGATTGAACCCTGGGTGCTTAACCATAGAGCCACATCCCCAGATCTTTTTATTATTTTTATTTTGAGGTAGGGTCTTGCTAAATTGCTAAAACTGGCTTTGAACTTGTAATTCTCCTGCCTCTACATTCCAAGTTGCTGGGATTATAGGTGTGTACTGCCTCACCCAGGTGAGTTTATGCTCTTAATCATTACATTGTACTCTCTCACCTTAGAAAAGGATTTATTAACTAAAATGTTTTTTAGAGTATGGTTTCTTTCCTTTTAATATTTTTTGGTTGTAGATGAATATAATACCTTTATTTTATTTATTTATTTTTATATGGTGCTGAGGATCAAACCTAGTGCCTCACACATGCTAGGCAAGCACTCTACCACTGAGCCACAACCGCAGCCCCCACTAAAATGTTCTTATTAATTTATAGAAGACAATCATTTCCACAGACTAGAAATTAAATAAGCTGGGCACATGGTGACATAGTCACTGTAAACATAGTGACTTGGGAAGCTGAGGCAGGAGGATTCCAAATTCGTGGCCAGCCTCAGCAATTTTAGTGAGGCCCTAAGCAATTTAGTGGGACCTTGTCTCAAAATAAAAAATAAAATGATCTGAGGATGTGACTCATGGGTAAAATGTCCCTGGGTTAAATCCCTAGTACTAAAAAAAAAAAAAAAAAAAAAAAAAAAATTACAGAACAGGCTGGGGATGTAGTTCATTCCTGGGTCCAACACCCTTCTACCCCCCAAATAAAATCAAAGGAAAGACAATGGTCTTAAATAGTGTCACTCTAAGTACAGCCCAGTGCTGGTTAATAAGGTAGGTTCCTTAAGTGAATCCCATATTTAAGGAAATAAATTTATTTCTGCAAAATTTGGCCCCTCAGGTTAATAGCAGCCTACTCTTGGAGTAGACTTTGAAATCTGCATGGTTAATAACACCCCAAGCAATTCTATGCCTGAATTAGGACCCACGCGGCTCTAATCCCTGAGCCTGCCCCATAAAAGTCTTGAGCCTGTCCCATAAAAGACCCCCAAGCCTGTTTTGCCTCTCTCCATTTATGGAGAGATGTGCCTCTATTTGTCAGCTCTGACAAATAAACTCTTGTGTGTATCTTTGCCTGGTTACCAACTTTTATTTTCTTGTTTTCCTGTCTCCTGATTCCTCACTTTGCTTTCAACTTGAAGAGACCCTCAGCAATATAGTGAGATTCTGTCTCAAAATAAAAAATAAAAGTACTGGGATGTAGCTCAGTGGTAAAGTGTCCCTGGGTTCAATCCTCAGTACCAAAAATAATAAATAAATAAATAAATAAAATACATTATTTTAGTGATTGGATTCCCTCCTACAAGATTCCCTCCTTCCAAGATAGTGCTGAATAAATCAAGCTAGCTCTCTAGTGAAGATACCAAGTTCCTTTCATTAATTTTCTTTTGTTTACAGAGGGAACAATACCATTGATTAACTTAAGCCTTTAAAGATTGCATGGTTTTACACTTTTTAATACAATCAGGCATTTCTCAGAAAGTCACAATTCCTTAGATTGTTTTAAACCCATAAACCATTTATTTCTTTTTTTTTTTTTTTACAGTGGGGCACTCCTACATCACATTTCTCCTCTCTCAGTTTCAATCTTCCAAGTTAGTCAAAGGACTTTATTGCTCTCCCCACCTTTCATATGGTAGTACTGATTATAAGTTAGTACTTGACTAATGAGAAGTTAATTTTTTATGTAGTATGAAAGAATTATGAACAAGCTTCTATGAATGTTTTCTTCCCAGAATTTCCTAATAGCATTCTGGAGGGATTAGTAGATCATAAAATTCTGAAAGAAAAGAAAGCTGTAGTTGAATATGGTTGTTTGGATTGACCTACAGTGCATACAAAAATATAGCACATACATAAATACATATTAAAAGACTGTTCTTACAATAGATACTTGTGTAAAAGATTTAAATTTTCTTTCCTCTTGTTTTAAGGTTTTCATATCCAAGCCAAAATGGTGACAATAGCTTAAAAGTGAAACTAAAATGGTGAAGGAAGTAAGATTAAAAAGTGAACTTTTCTTTAATGCTAGACTAGAAATACTGAGGGTAGGAACAGCAGACTTTTAAAAATTGATGTAAAAAGATTATAAATTACTCTCCCTTCCTAAACTGATCATATGCTAAGATTTAACAACTGGAGCATGTTAAGAATTGCTCAATATTTCATATCAGAAAATATTAAGTTATTTGTTGAAGTGAATTAAGTAATTCTGACATTTAAAATGAATCTGGAAACATGATCTTGACATGGAATTCTAGAGGTAGAAAATGACATGGTAAAAATAATTTCAAAGAGAATCATCAGTAATAAAGGTACTCTGCACAATAAAATCTCCCTGATTTGCACCTACATTTAGTGAAAAGAACTGGTTGTGTGTTCTTACAGAAATAATATTTAGTATAGTAGTGTATGGAAACAGTATACAATATGATTATTTTGTCTTGACTTAGCAAAGCCTGATCAAGAATTGGTTCTGCTGTAACAGGGATAAATCATAGGTAATAAGCCTATCAAATACCTGTCTGAAGAGAGGCATATCAGAAGAGTCAGGAGTTTATCTCTTTTCTTTTCTTTTTGGTGGTGCTGAAGATCCAACCCAGGGCAGGCTAGGCAAGGCTCTATCACTGAGCTATATCCTCAGGTTCCCCCTTTTCCTTTAATATATTTGAAAGCAGTTTTTTATAAGTTGGAAAACTGCTTCTGTTTGCACTATTATTATTTGTTTATAAATTCTTTGGTATAATAGACTTTGTGTTTAGAACAAAAAATATTCATTGAGGCATATTAGGAGCTATGTGGTATATAACAGGTACTATCTTTCAGTAAATTATCTATGCTAGTCCAATGGTAGTTTTCACAAATTCATTACATTCTTTTTTTTTTTTTTTTTTTTTTTACTGGGGATTAAACTACTCAACAACTAAGCAACATCCCCAGCCCTATTTTGTATTTTATTTAGAGACAAGGTCTCACTCAGTTGCTTAGGGCCTTGCTAAATTGCTGAGGCTGGCTTTGAACTTGAGATCCTTCTGACTCAGCCTCCCAGCCACTAGAATTACAGGTGTGCGCCATGTGCCAGGCTATAAATCATTAAATTTTTAATAGAAGAAAGTGAAATTAGTGAAGTATTACAGAATTGATATTGTCTTTCATAAAGTATATAAAAATCTTGATAAGAATTATTTAATGCTTTTCAGAACCCTATTAAGAAGATAAAAACAAAAATCAATAAGATTTGGGGAGAACAAACATTACACCTTCTATGGAGCTTTCATTTTCTTGCCACATATGTTCTTGAGACTAATTATTTTCATAATTTGATAAATTTGAAGAACTATATACATATAAATTTATAGCATTACCTGGAGAGAATCCATACTTTATTCACCAAGTAGGCCTCCTTTCCTTGTACACTGCATCACACACCTATACACACCAAGTGAAGTTACAACAGATGAAAAAGATAAAACTACAAATACCTAAATATTTCCTCTTTTATGTGTAACATTTCCAACTCTCATGTATTCCAGATTTAACATCTATGGTTGGGGGCAGGGGTGACAAAAGTAACTTAATTCTGTATTTTTGGAGTTGGTGTCTGGCAAATTCATTGCATAAAATCAAAACTGGATTTTAAGCAATTTCTAATGTAATGAAAAGGTATTCATTTATTTGATGGATGTTGAGTGGTAGTGTATCAAGCAAAGTTGCTATCCCTGCTGAGGTGAGATACTCACTGATGACCTAAACTAAACGTCCCAAGCCCCAGGATCTGAGTATTAGTGGATGAGATGTGTTACTACAATACAAAGCAGAAAGCACTAGAAAGAAAGAACAAATAAATTTGTACTTCAGATGCAAATAATTTCCTAATGGCCACTAGCCAAAATGCTTTAAGGATTTAGGATTTTATCACAATTTCAACATAACTAGGAAGAACTCCCACAATTCTATTCTTTGTCCCCCAGAATCCAAAAACTCCGACCAACCACGTGGGATTTTAAATTGGTGACTTGTTCTAAAGGGGGTGGAGGGTCAGTGTAGAGCAGGGGAATTATCACCCAAAGTCTCGGGGGACATCACCCCTTTTGAGGCCTATGGTGCAAAGACCATTACGAAGAATGGCGGGGTTCGTGGAGTTCTCACCCTGGGCACACTCTCGATTACCTCTGATGAGCCCCAAAGATCTCTGAGTAGCAGACTAGGTCAGGCCCCCCAAAAGAAAAGGCGGCGATAACTGCAACCTCAGCGGTTAAAGTGTACAGCCTATAGGCGGGTCTAAAGCACCTGTGCTAAAGATTACTATCGCTGAGGATTCCTAGACTGGAAAATGAAAAGGGGTAGGGGGTAAAGGGTAGGGGGAAGGGAAGGAAGAGCCCGGGGGTTCAGAGAAAGGGGGAGGGGAAGAGAGGGGATGGAGCCGCGGGGAAGACCACAGGTTTACAGGCGGAAATCGTGATGTTCCCATGGAAACGTATCCCTCCGCCCGTGACCAGCGCCTTGGCCTCTTCAGTTCCCTCCGCGCCGCTTCTCTCCGCGCTGTTTCCGCCCAGCTCCTTTGTGCCGCGCAGAACGTTGAGATGACGCATGCGCAAAACTCCCAGCCGCCGCATATATAAGCGCGAAGCCGGGCTCTTCTTCGTAGTGCCGCCGGGACCGTTGGCGAGTGAGTGTGTGTGGCAACTTCCGTACTACTCGAGCCCCGGGCGCTGCGAGCTAAAGAGCAGAGCACGCGGGCCGGTCAACATGTCGCGCTACGGGCGGTATGGAGGAGGTAAGCGCTTAGGGCCTAGTAAAGAAGAATGCTGTGCATATAGTGAATATTCTGAGGCCGTGGGGTTGGCGCGGCGGTTGGGAGACGGTTATTCCGCGTGCGTAATGGCGGCTTCGGCGCACGCCAAACGAAGCCGGAGGCAGCGGGGGCGGGGTGTTGAATGGAAATGGGAAATAAGAGGGTGGGTGTCTGAGCCCGGTCCCCAGTTCTTGGGCATTTTTGTCGCCCACGCGGGCCTGAAGTCGGGTCCGAGGTCACGATTTTCCCTTTGCCCTTCTTGGAGCTGCCCGTCCGCCCCCTCCCCCCCTCGGCGGCGGCTGCCATTTTGCGCACATTGACGACCGTGGTGGCGCATTTCCTTAGCGCTTTCCCGCCACTCGAGCGGACAGATCTGGTTGCTGTGGTAAAGTGAGGGTTGGATTTGGGACTGAATGGAACTGGCAGCTACAAGCTGCGCATTCTTGTCAAACAGTTGTTGAGTTGAGGGATGGTAATTACGACCAACGGTTGGCTTTTTTTGTGGGGGGGTGCGGCTTTTTGGAGAGCTGTTTATGACACTGGGGCAGGGAGTTGGAGACTTTGGCAAGCCAGCGCCTAGGCCGGTTGTTGTGAGGACGAGAGCGGGCGCAGCCCTACTCGCGGTCCGGCCGAGGCCCGCCCGACGCCGCTGCCTCGGGCCCGCGCGCTCCTAACGCGCCCGCGGCTGCCGGGACTCGGGGGCGGGGCCGGACCGGGCCCGCCCCAATCGGGATATCTTGCTTGGCGTCTTTGCTGTTTTGGAGATTTTTCTCCTTATTATAATACTGAAAACCTTGTTATAAGTCTAGCTTCTTGGGTGTTTATGGACTTCATTGATTTTAAGACTAAATTCGACCCTAGAGAAAGCATTAGATATGTTTTGTACAAGCCGGATGCAGTGGTGTCTAGTCTTGGCTACCTGGGAAGGCTGAGGCGGGAAGATTGCTTGAGCCCGGGAGTTGGAGACCTGACTAGGCAAGGTAGCCAGAGTCTGTCTCAAAACAGTGTCTTAAGGATGTCCTGTTTAGGCAAAGAATTCAGTCACATTGAGCCAAACTTTGGTAATGTACGTTGTTATGTTGCATTTTTTTTTTTTTTTAAACAGAAACCAAGGTATATGTTGGTAACCTGGGAACTGGTGCTGGCAAAGGAGAGTTAGAAAGGGCTTTCAGTTATTATGGTCCCTTAAGAACAGTATGGATTGCAAGAAATCCCCCCGGATTTGCCTTTGTGGAATTTGAAGATCCTAGAGATGCAGAAGATGCTGTGCGAGGACTGGATGGGAAGTAAGTGAGATGTTCATTATGAAACACTTATTAAAATGTTTTGTGGGTTAGAGATCTGGTGTGCTAAGCTTTGTGTTCTACAGTCTGGAGACCTAACCTTAAATACCTGATCTTGATAAGACAATGAGGATTAAATCTGTTTTGCCCCATCATCCCAAATGTGGAACACCTATTATAAAAACAAGCAAAAAATACACCATTTATGGTAATTTTGAAATAATATTTGAATATTTGTAGAATTGAGAACTTCAGACTTAATGGGGGTAAAGAGGGTAGCAAGGGTGGAGTTGAAGAACTTAGTAAAGAGCCAAAGCTTGTGAGGGGAAGGAGTGGTTAAAGAGAGTTATAAATTGAGGGTTAATTTGTAATCCCATCTACTTGGAAGGCTGAAACAGGAAGATCCCCAGTTCCAAATTGGCCTTGGCAATTTTAATGAGACCTGATTATTCAAAAAATTAAAAGGTTTGGGATGTAACTGGGTGGTAGAGTGCTTGCCTAGGTTATGTGGGCTCCTGGGTTAAATCCCTAGTATTGGGGGGGGTCACTTTTTTTTAACTTTAGAATTTTGTTACTTTTAACAGGGTGATTTGTGGTTCCCGAGTGAGGGTTGAACTATCAACAGGCATGCCCCGGAGATCTCGTTTTGATAGACCACCTGCCCGACGTCCCTTTGATCCCAATGATAGATGCTATGAGTGTGGCGAAAAGGGACATTATGCTTATGATTGTCATCGCTATAGCCGTCGAAGAAGAAGCAGGTATTTAGTTAATAAAGGAATGGTTGGTATTCTAGTTAATTAATCAAAGTAATTCTTTTATTAGCAAGGCAGAAACTAGTGTTTTTCTATAAACTTGAATGTTAATTGTACAGGTGTATTTTACAATTTTTGTTTAATTAAAAATGTTAATATATTAATAATCAACCTGGTCAAAACCTTTCAGGTTTCTTCGTTTGAGTCAGTCGCCTTGATTCAGAATGTCACGAGCCTTATGATATCATGCTGAGGCGCCTTGCAAATCCGACAATTAAGATCCTCCTAGACCTTGAGGTGATCAGCATAAGAGGCCAGATCCCCTCGAGTCATCTACACCTAGCTTCACCTTATTCTTTAAAGGGCAGAAAATTTGAGACGGTGATCGCCGTAACAGTAAATTTGGCTTACAATTGGGGCCCCCCCTCCGCTTTAGAAAGAGGAACACCAGATTGACCACATTCCCAACTAGAAAAATCTTCTTGCGTCAATCAAGCCTCACCTGGCTCTTTTGGCTGTCAGTTTGATCGTCGTTAGATTGAAGAAAACATCTAGATGCAGCGATCGGCTATAGATACTTCTAGATCGTCTAGATCTACTAGACCTACTAGACCATGGGCCAAAGAGGGTCGACCTGCAAACTTGCAAGGTTTATTTTAAATACACATTACAGTGTTTTATATTATGTAATTCTAAGTTGTAATTCAGCTTTTAACAATCTTTTTTTAGGTAGTAAAAAAAAAAAAAAAACCAACAACTAGGCCCAGAGTTTATTTCCAAATGAGACTAAATTTAAATAGTTTTGAGATTTGATTTCAGCAGAGGCACAAAAACGCTAAAAACGAGTTATCGTCTAATATTTTGTATTTTTCTAACTTGAAAAATAGGTCACGATCTAGATCACATTCTCGATCCAGAGGAAGGCGGTACTCTCGCTCGCGTAGCAGGAGCAGGGGACGGAGGTGAGAAATCTTCAGTAATTCATCTTCACAAGCTGGGGGGGGGGGAGGCTGTTTTGAGATGGACTTTAGTTTCTTTTAATTTTTAGGTCAAGATCAGCATCTCCTCGGCGATCAAGATCTGTATCTCTTCGTAGATCAAGATCAGCTTCACTCAGAAGATCTAGGTCTGGTTCTATAAAAGGATCGAGGTATTTCCAGTATGTAACACTTTTTTCCTCCTTATTTGTAGTTGGATTGTCACATCTTGACCGCAACAGCACAGTGGTGGAGTGTCTTAAGGACAAAATTCAAATGAATTGCTTCAGAATGTTTGAGATTTAAAAGTTTAATTTTTATGATTTCTATCATGGACATTAGTTTTACAAGTAAAGATAAACATAAGTAAAGATTTTAAAGCTTGTTAAGAGGCCATAGTGGACTAGGCATAGTGATTCATTCCTGTAATTCCAGTGACTTATGAATCTGAGGCTGGAGGATGACAAGTCTGAAGCTGACAGTTTTAACACATTTAAGAGAAGTGAAAAATCAAGTTGGGAACCATATATTTCCTTAGTAAGCATGCCTTAAAAGATGGAACTTGTACAACTCTAGAAAATGTTAACACTATAGATGATGAAGCAGTTGTTCAGAATGCCACCCAGTTACTTGCTGTTGAATAGAACAAACCCTTTAAAAGTAGAAATTACAAATCCTGTGGTCTATTTGAGAAAACTGGACTAATCTCTAGATAGTTTATCTAATTTATTGCAGGATCTCAAGATATTTGAGATGCATATATCAGCCCAATGTAGTTGGGTGTAATTTGCTTATGATTTAAGAAAAAAGCCTTACTCATTTGTCCAACTTTAGATTGACTCAAGGCAAGATTTTGCATTTTGATCAGTTTTAGGTCCTTTGTTCCTAACCTATCTAATTCAGTGCTCAAAAAAGGAATGCCTATGGACTAATGTATTTTCATTTTTCTTTTATTAAAAGATCCCGGTCAAGATCAAGATCTAGATCTCGATCTCTTTCACGACCAAGAAGCAGGTAAGGTACAAATGTGATCAAATGCTCTTCCAGTTATATGGCACCAATATCCAAAGAGTTCAAAGTGTTTTTCATTGTTGAAAATTTTAAATGTCAACTCCTAAGTGGAAATACAAAACCTTTTTAAGCCAAATGAGAACTTCATTAAAACATGGCCTATTGCAGGCTTCTTAGAGGAGGGAATGTGAAGTGTGCTAGAAATTTGTGATTTGTTGGGGTTGAGAGGCCTTTGCTAGAACTGTTAGGGACATTGGAGAAGCATCCTGAAATAAGTGTTTTTTTAAGATAGTAGGTGGAAAAGATGAATTGTGACAATACAGCAGTTCACTTTAATTAAAAAAAATATATAGTCTGACATTTTTTAAGCTCAGGACAGTGTCGGGTTTGTTTGTGGTTAAAAGGAAGGGATTGGTTAGTACTTTTTCTTAATAGAGTTTCTCGTGTTTTGACAGCCGATCAAAGTCCAGATCTCCATCTCCAAAAAGAAGGTAAGCTAAATAATCTTTTGTTGCAAAGTCTTAACCAATCAAGTGTGGCCTCTGCAGAATTTGTCTGCTTTGCCTAATTAGCAATCTTTGAGCTCTTTGGAGAATTGGTGCTATATAGATTAGGTATTATGTTTCTGAGATGATTGCTTTTCCTTTAACAGTTTTTTACTTTTGTATAGTCCTATGAACCCTTAGTTGCTAAGCAGCTTGATTTTTTTTTTTTTCCCCCCTACATTCTACCTGTGGACAATAGGTAGAAATGAAGTCCATGTGAGGAAAACCATAAATCTTGCAAATGGTTGAAATCTAGCAACTAAATTATTTTGTCTCTTGGTCCTTAAGGAGCCAGAGAACTACAAATGGTTGTTCTATTTAATGTAACCTTGGAATTTGGCAAGGTTATTAAAAAAGCCAATACTAATGGGTGGGGGGGATAAGTATATAAATTTAATGTAAGTTTAGATCTTTGCCTTAGTAGGAATACATTGTACATTAGGATTTATTGAAGTATTATTTTCCCTTGACTGTACATTGGAAAGAGTATATTTCAGTAGACACTAATTGGTTCCCAAACCTAATGTTTTTCTTTTTAGTCGTTCCCCATCAGGAAGTCCACGCAGAAGTGCAAGTCCTGAAAGAATGGACTGAAGTTCCTCAAGTTCACCCTTTAGGGAAAAGTTATTTTGTTTACATTATTATAAGGGATTTGTGATGTCTGTAAAATGTTACCTAGGAAGGATATTTCAACCATCTAATCAAAATGGATCTGGATTAATACTCTGTAAATTCACAGCAGTAAGATAATATAAGTTTTTTGTTGAATGTATTAACATCTTATGGTCTGAACATGGGTTTTTATTTGGCACATTTAAATAAAATGTTTCTAACTAGATTTTTGATTCGTGTTCAATATTAACACTTCTCAATTTGGTAACCATCAGGAGTCAAACTTGATAACTATTAAATATTCATACAGTTACATTCAAAGTTTAATGGTGTTAAAAGTCTTGAACATCATTAACTGTTATATACATAACACTTTGTCAACATCTTAAGGGACTTTGAAAAATTATATTTTACCCTTGTATCTGGGTAAGATGATCTTGAGTCCCCTGTAATAGTATGAGTTTATCATGACAGATCCTTCAATTTAACTTATTGAAGTTGGTGTTAAGAGACATCAAACTAATGATCTCAATCTGTCAATCTAGAGGGACCACTGATTGACCTATAAATGAGCATGACGGGAACTAAGCAAAGCTTTTTGAGTAAATGTGATATAAGATGTAAGGAGAAACTGATTTCTGGAGGCTGTTTTAGCTTATTGATGTTTCCAGGCAATTAGGTGGGATGGTTTCTTTTCAGTGTTCTTTGTTTTCAAACATTAGTTAACTGATTTTATACCAAAAAAAAAATGCATGTATGAGAAATTGTCTGGATTTGGAATAAAATGTAAACCAGCTTTGCAAAATTTTCCAGCCTAGATACTCTTCTGTATTCCTTCAAATGGATCACCTTATTTTGTTCAAAGACCTATTATGTCTAAGCTAGGTTTCACAATTCCCAACAACCAACATTATTTTGCCAAGCTGGTGCAAAGTAATTAATGATGTCAATCAGCAATGTTAATGAGACTTAAGCAGTTTTGTAAATCCCACTTATTTAGTAGCAACATTTCATGTAGCTTAAGTTTTTTTGGTAGTATATGGTAGACCTTAGAATGTTACAGCCAGTAGGTTCTTATTCAGACTTAACTATATTAAGTATAATGGGACAATGGTTATTTTTGAGAGTTTTCTGGACAAACTTTTACCAGGTATTTTCTACCTTGGTGTAAAAGGAAAAAGTGCTGGTGGCACAGGAATCTGTCCTTGTCTGTTTTCTTAAGGCTTTTCTACAAAGTCATTGGATGATAATGCAATTTGGGAATACTGATCTGCCTCAAATTTATTTGGTGGTCTGAGTGATCACTAGTATATTAGAAGTTATTTGGGTTCTTTGTTTTGGAATTTTGACAACTGAGCATTATATGGTTGGCATAAAGCTGTGTAATTGGCAGGCTTATTTGTTGCACTGGTTAGCTTTAATTGTTCTGTATTATATAAAGATAAGTTTACTCAACAATAAATCTGCAGAGATTGAACAAATAATCCTGATACTCAGTTTTTGGAAGTGTGAGCCCTGAGCTAAAAGTAGGAATCATTAATCCTATAGCTTTTTTTGGATGGAAAAGTAGTGGCATCCCAGAAGTTAGTGTTGAAAGGATATGGGTATGAAGGAAGGATAGAAATCCTGCTACCCTCAGAGAAAGTGAATACTGACCCTAGTCCAACAGCTTTACTCGTTGACAACTTTGTACCTACTGTTGAGTAGTGTATTATGTAATGATAGTTTCATGACAGTTTCATGGAGTTAATGTCCTGAATATTTCATATGTAGGAAAAAAGCTCCAGTAGACAGTTTGAAAGCCTACTATTGTGATATCTAGAACAAATATTCATTAAAATATTTTCATTTCTAATTAAAAAGTTAAAGCTGATCAAAATTGTCATTTAATCCCAGCAACAAAACTATGCTATTACTCCATCTCATTAAAGAAAAAGTGGGCTCAGATTGGTAATTTAGTCGGGTTTTTTTTTTCCTATCTAGGTAGGAAGTAGGAAAAGATTGAATCTTTACCTGTGAATTGAAAGTTTTTTTCTTCAATATGTGAAACACTAAAGACAATCACATGGAAAAATCAGAAAAAATACAAGTAACCCTATAGTCCTACCCATTTTGGTACCATTGTTAATGGCCATATCATGAAAAGATGTGGCCTTTTTTTTGTGTGTGCGCTGGGGATTGAACCCAGGACTTCGTGCATGTAAAGCAAGCACTCTACCTACTGAGCTATATTCCCAGCCCCTCAACCTCTTGTTTCATGTCTGATGATTTTTGATTTTCCAATTGCCAAGCCTTTTTCATTTTCTGTCATTTTTGACTTACGGGATACAAGGTTTTATACTCCTGACTTAGCTACCTTAACCAGTTTCAGATACATAGCCCGCTCAACAGTTGTATTCCTATGTAACAAGTAGACATTTTCATGACAGCAGCATAGTGTACATTGACTTTTTTCTCATTTGATATTTTGGCGATCTTGTAAAAATCTCTTGGTCAATTTTTTTTAATGTTGCATTTACTTGTTGATGGTATTGTGTAGTAAACTTTTTAAATACCTCTTCAATGTGTCCTTGGGATGCAGAAGTGAACAAGTATATTAAAATGGAGCTTAAGTTCTGGAGAGTTATTTAATAAAAGAGGACTTTGTTGCTATTTTGTGAAGGACGGTCTAAGTGACATTTGAGCAAGTGAAGCGGGGGGGGGGGGGGGGGGGCGTATAACAACTTTGACTTCTGGAGGAACTGTTTTCTAGTCGGGGGAACATAGTAGGTGCAGAGGCCCTAAAGTAGTTTGAATTGTTAGAGATCAAAGGTCCCAGAAGGAAAGGGGTAGGTGATGCAGGATATGGATCATGTGGAACCTTTTAGACCTCGGAAAAGATCTAGTTCTTTTCCCCGGAGGTTTTTTAAAGATACTTTTCCTGTTCATTTTTTAAGACTGGTAGCAATTTTAGGTTCATTAACAAAATTTAGAAAGGCATATAGATATTTCCCATATCTATCTACAATCCATATCACCTCACACCTGTAAATTTCCCCCAGTATCAACTTTTGGATTGGTACAATTGTTAGAACCTAAATTGATTTGACATTGTCACCTAAAGTCCATAGTTTTACCTTAGGGTTCTTGAGGGTTGAACTTTCCATGGGTTCAGACAAATATATAATAACTTGTCTACCATGTGGCATCACACACGTTTCATTGCTGGAGTACTCTAGTTTTTTGTTTGATTTTGTTTGTTTTTTCCCCTCCCACACTGCTGATTAAACTTGGGCACTCCACCACTGAACTATGTCCCCATCCCTCCATCCCTTTATATTTTTTGAGACAGGTCTCATGAAGTTGCCCTGACTGGCCTTGAACTTGCCATCCTGCCTGAGCTTCCCAAGTTACTAGGATTACAGGTGTCTGCTACTGTACCTGGCTTGTTTTGACTTTATTCTTCCCTCCCCCATCAATTCCTGGCAACCACTTTTTTGACCATCTATTTTGCTTTTTCCAGATTGTCGTAATAGTTGGAATCATAGTATGTTACCTTTTCAGAATGACTGATTTAACCTTCTAATAGGCATGTTTCCTCCTTTTGGGGGTTGAATTACACTCTGGTAGTTCCGCAGTTCCACTTAACCTAATAAAAGAAAGTCTTGGTTGCTTCCAAGTTTGGATAATTACGAATAAAGCTGTTGTGTGAGGTTTTTATGTGGCCATAAGTTTAACTCCTTCCTTTGTGTAAATGCCAAGGAGCAAAATTATGTGAAATACATTTAGTTGTCTTTCAGGTAGGCTGCATGAATGAGTTTGGGTTGCTCCACATCCTTATGAGCATTATTAAGCATTTGTCAGTGTTAGGGAGTTTGGCCATTCTAATATATGTATGGTGGTTTGGGTTTTATCTTGCATTTTTCTGGTCAGCAGCATGTGATGGTGGAGCATCTTTTTAAAAATTATTTATTAGTTGTAGTTGGACACAATACCTTTATTTACTTATGTGGGGCTGAGGATCAAACCCAGGGCCTCGAATGTGCTAGGTGAGTGCTCTAATGCTGAGCCACAACCCCAGCCCTAGAGCATATTTTCATGTACTTAGCTACCATCATCCTTGGTGAAGGATCTGTTAAGGGTCTTTAGCCCTAATTTTAATAGGGTTGTCTTTTTTCCCATGGAGGGTATCTGAGAAAAGGATTAACAGGAACTTAACTGTTGGTGAATATGAGGGTTGTTTCTAATTACTGTTACCACAGTGAACTGAATACCTTGCATAGTACACCATTGCACAGGTGAACATGTCTAGGATAATTACTAGAAATGGCATTGCTGGGTCAAATTATGTTTTGGATGGGTATTGTTAGTTTGCCCTGGTGGCAGGGTATGCCCGTTTTCCTGTAGTATTTTTGACGACATGGTGGGCTATCAAGCCTGTTGGTTTTGGTTTGGAATGTGGTGTACACCTGTAATCCTAGTGATTTAGGAGCTGAGGCAGGGGGATTGCAGTTTTTAAGACCAGCCTTAGCAATTTTGCAAGACCTTGTCACAAAAAGTAAATAAAGTGCTGAGGATATAGCTCAGTTGGTAGAGTGCTTGCCTTGCATGTGCAAAGTCATGGGTTAATCCCCAGCACCACTAAATGAATGAATGAATGAATGAATGAATGGACAAATAAACATTAAAAAGAAGTGGGGATGTAGCTCAGTGATAAGAGTACAATCTTTTTTTTTTTTGGTGCTGGGAGTTGAACCCAGAGCCTTGTGCATGTGATGCAAGCCCCCAACCAACTGAGCTATATTCCCAGCCCCAACCATCTTGATTTTTTAAAAAAAATCCTGTGTTAAAAAAATGGTATCTTGGGCCTGGTGTTGTGGCTCAGTGGTAGAGTGCTCACCTAGCTCATGTGAGGCACTGGGTTCGATCCTTAGCACCACATAAAATTAGGGTATTTTGTCCAACTACAACTAAAAAAATATATATATATATATATATATATATAATATATATATATATATATATATATATATATATATATCTGATAGGTTTTTTTTATTTTGTTTTGTTTGGTAAAATACGTGTTTTCCCCCTTCTGGAAAATTTCCATGTGTTTGCAAGTCTGATTTAGTTTCCTTGCTCTCAATATACTGGAACTTTACCTACAGTGGGACTCCTTTATTTGTAATTTGTGTGTTCACTTCTGTATTTATACCATCACAAAACATTGTGACAGGAGGAACCAAA